TAAATATATACCCTTTTTCAATCTAACCAGTATTTTTGTGAGTCACCAGTTTATTTCCTTTTGTCTTTTACTAGACAATACTATAACTACCTGACAGATGTACTATAATATATTTTGTGATAAAAATAGTCAAATTTAGTCATCCCTTAGGCAAACGCAATTTTTGTGAAGCGGTTCAAACGCGGCCGGGTGTCCGATACTATTGAACGATGCGTGAAACAAATGAAGAAGTTCAACTTGAAGGTGAGAGCGGTGGTTTTATCTTTTTTGTAACCAGTGTCATTGATAACGAAACCATGAGAGTGATTAACAGCAAAGTAGTAGTTGTGTTGGCATGTTCGCAGACAATTTCAAGCACTTGAAACACTTTCCCGATTAGATGATAAATTTTGAGAGGGTGGGGATCAGGGTAAACCCTCACGCTCGCCCTTTTCTAAGAATTTTGCGAGAGGTGGTCTCGATGCGACCCCCACCACCACCATTAGTCTTAGAAGGCTCCCCCAATACGATACCCTTCCCCTTCTCCCCCACACCACCCTCACCATCATGGCTGTTTCTATAGTATTTGATTCTGAGACCAGTCGACACAGCCCAACTCCGCCCACTTTTCCTCCAAAAAGGTCGTTGAGCGGGGAGGGGGTCAATTGGTATCATGAAGCGGCAAATCCACCAATTTTCCTTAATTCTGCCTAACTCTCAATACTTTCGCAAAACTTCCGCCAAATTTGTCGAAAAACCCTTGCAAACACAACAACCTCAAACGACAATCGTCAACCTCCGTTCCCACTATGATAACCTTGCCCAAGCCCAAAAAACCACCCCCTTCCTTAATCACAAATCTGAATGCAACCCCCTATTTAATAGTGCGAACGGACGGTTGTTCCTTTTGGCGATAGTGCGAGAATTCTCCGTGAAGTTTGTTGGTTTTGCATATACCATCAGATATCGAATGGAGTAATCCAATAGAATATGCAAATTTAAAAGTCCTTACTTTCTCGAATAAATCGAAAAAAAAGCATGCTATGTCTTGATACGATGGCGATTTGATGTGCCATTTCTTCTGCGCAGCAGTTTACTGATGAAAGGATATGGACCCCCAGTCCCAACTGTCAGCACACATTCACTCTAATATGGATTTTCCAGATCTGGATTTTCCCCGAAGGAACACGAAATCATGCTGATGGCATGCTACCGTTCAAAAAAGGAGCATTCAACATTGCTGTTCGGGTAGGCCACTTAATCACACCTCTCTCGGACCAGCGCCTCTAAATCCATTATAATTTGTTTCAGGGTGGATTCCCGATTGTACCGATTGTTCTGTCAAATTACCGTCCATTCTACTCGAAAATTGATCATTACTTTATGTCTGACGGCGAGGTGATCGCACAAGTGCTCAGTCCGATAAGCACCAAAGGGGTATGCTGTCGGAATTTCTTGATAAATTTATGGAGCAAAAAGCGAGTGCAACCGAGTGTGAACCGAAAGCAATCATGAGTGCCAGAGAAAGTTCATATGCTTCATTGGGGTGTTAGCTTTGAACACTCTGAGGTGGGTGCTTGCCTAAAATCTCTCAGAATTCCAAAAAGGTCGCGTCAAGGGAGGAAGCAAAATGATGGCATGCTGTAATTGCAGACCGTAGAAATGCAGGTGCATTCAAACGATCACACGCACTGCTCTTTGAATAATAATTCAATATAAGAAAATCGGCTGCAGAATACTACTAAGGAGTGGAGAGCCCGGTCCCACAAGTGTGGTGATCGCGAACAACATCTGCATCTAGAAACGCCTCACTAGGCGGTAGCATCTTACGACGATCTCGCGAACCAGAGGTGAATAACGTCGAGAAAGCGTTTCATTGACATGGCCTCGGGTATGTGCGTGTGAATAGTGTACGACAGGTGCTTGACGCGCGGATGGGAGAGCAAGATGGCATTGCGCACGAGGCTGAGAGTGAATACCTACGCAGAGAGCGCGGACTGAATGCGGGCGAAAATGCCTCGCCGTGCTTGTGACGAATCCTAAACAAAATCGACCAGAGTTGTACCTGACGCGAGAGTGTGCACAGCTACGGACTGCCTATCGTTCGATACATGTCTCCTTCGGTAATGTTGACAGCGATGGTCTATGCTACTTGGCGTTTTTCACCGTTCGGCACTCACTCATCTTGTATCTCTCTCTTATGGTGCGAGTTCTTCGCAGCGTAGAACAATGAAGTTTCTGTGTTTTGATGATATTTCCATCTTTTTCCTCGTGGTCCATGTCACATCCTACTTTCATATTCGGGTGGGATTACCACATCAAACAACAAATGTATCGATAACCGCTTTGCAGCTTCACACTATCTCCTAGGCATTGACCTGGAGAAAAGGCAAAGGATTAAAAACGATGAGGCTTCAAGCGCAATCGGACAAGTTATTACAAGTCTGCCTTGTTTGCATCCAATATTGCCAACACTGCACAATGCAGACGAATTCAAAATTTTTCACCCTATATGCATGACTCCAATCATGGTACGGCCGCTAGAGTCAACCTCTGTATCAAACACGCACATAAATTCAATATAATTTTCGATTCATCAGCGCATTCGTTGTTTATTTTCGAAATTAGAAGTGACATTTAAGCCATGAACCTATCTTTTAAAAACAAAAATTTAGTAACAGAATGAAAAACGACAGGGATCAATAACAATGTTGTGTTTTGCAGCATAACAGAGTTGAGGATGTTACCTAAAACTTTCGAAAAAAGCTTCAGGTGCTATGAGTTGCTAGGACGTCTACCTACGACTAAATCACGCAAGGACGGCGAAGGAAAAGATAGATGAAGGAAACAGACAAGACAGTCACAGAAACTCCTCATTCCGGCGCTGCCTCAATTTCTCCTCGAAGCAGGCTGTCACAGTTGGGGATGTTTAATTAGCATATGTACCGTGAATCGTCGGCCAACCAAAAAAAGTGATGAGCTCTCGATACATTTCAGATGCTATTTTGCATGTATTTTTTTTTGAAAGTCCGATGGATAACACTTCTACATACAATCGCAGCAACAGCGAACACAACCGTGTTTTGCCGCGGGAACAAGTGTTTACATATTGATAATGTTGAAAAAGAACGGTCAAGTATAATTAAAAGAAGTAAATAATATCGCGAAATGCATAAACAATTACTAGTCGCAAACATACCTTGCTGCGTTTCCCGAAAAATGACTGCCTGAATGTGACGAGGATTGACGAAAACCATTTTCATTCCATACAATGGGAAAAGAGACTTCAGATGGGCTTGAGTGGTGTTTTCGTGAATTGACCACTAGGAAACTCTCACGCTAATGACCACAAGAGAGGATTTTGAGATGCTGACACAAGTAGGAAGTGCAGGCACGCCCCGCAGTTTTTTGTATCACTAAATGTATAGCCCACCGGAAGGATCACGCATTAACTCTAATTCACCGCGTCCGAAGCCGATGCATAGGTCACAGGACGATTTCTTATGCTATAAATTCTTTTTTTGATGATAACTGAAAGTCACTGAATGCGTATTTAGCGCAGAAAACGACGATTTGCCAAGAATGACCACACCTCAAATCAGCGTCTCCGTTTTTCCACGAGTTGGCCGTGAAGTATATGTTGACTAGCTTATGACAAATATGAGTATATAGTTACATAGTTTCATCATGGTACAACGGTCATACAGACGAGATCTGCATTCGTGAGCGCGAGAGCAGTGACGGCAACGGCACAGACACGAGCTGTTGGAGGCCACAGGATTTTCCAGTAAGAGAACACTGAACCCCCGACGCCTAGGCCGAACAAAAGTGAGGAGTCTCAACTCAGAATTGGAGGAATTGCATTAGAATGGAGTACATAGAAATAGGGCGGAAGTGGTGTAGTGGCAAGTGGCACGCTTACCACGCGAGCGGTCCGGGGATCAAATCCTGGGTCGTGAGTCGCCCGGGCCAACCAAGCCTTCCATCCCTCCGGGGTCGGTTAATTGGTACCAGACTTGTCTGGGAGGATAAAAACACTGACTTGTACATCGGCTGGCCCCCGCAAGTCATTGTATAGGCCACATCGCATTCAAACGCCACTACGAATGTACAAATGGAAGTAGAATGCGTGCCGCATCCCAAAAAGGGATTGATCAACGGCAAATGCTTTATCCTTTTTTATAATGAGACCGCGACAGAAGAGATCCTAGATAGAGGAAAGTAGCGACGTTTACCAAGACCACCAGACCACAAAAAAAAGCGGGAAGAGGAAACCAAGGAGAATTACGCCCTAGTCGTTGTGATTTCCAAAATTGTGGTCCTGATGGACTTGTTCGATTTGATTCGGCTTTCAAACTTTCCGTATAACGAGCCGCTCGTTGCAATAAGACATTTATTTGAAATGCTTAAAAACAGACAAGAACAACATGCGTCAAAGACAACATAAAAATTTCAGTAGTAAGAATTGAAAAAAGTGACAAAAGAGATAATCGCTTAAAAGATTCACTTTTGCATGGCATACATATAAACTATGTGAGATAAAGCCAAGGAAAAGCTAAAACAAACAAAAAGTGAAAATTGTAGAACCGGAGAGCAAAGCTGAGGCACATAGATTGGAGACCGAGTTAAGGTAGACTACACTGTTGATCCTAATTTGCAACCATGACTTCACTAGTATCCCACTAAATTAATCAGACGAGTTACCAATAGGACGAATTTGTGGCCATAACATTGTAGGAAGATAAATTCAGAAATGGCATCAATTTTGAATAAGTACCGTATTTTAGTTTTTTTCAGAATACTATTTTGGCAAGCAAGCATCAAGATGTCAAAATCGAAGGAAAATAACAACCGCAAACAAAAAAAAAACCGTCAAATCATCCAGATAGATTAAGTTATAACCAGTAAG